TAAATTTGTAATTTTTTTGGATATTTCCCCCATTTGCGGGGAACGAGGGAATTTTTTTCAATTTTTAAGGGTAATGTCTTCAACTAGATACGATTTGTGATCTTTTGACGTATTTTTGAAAGAAATCGGTCCAGTGAGAGCTGAGAAAAAGTGGCAACAGACATAAAAAAAAAAAAAAAAAAAAAACACATCATAGTAAAATTAATACCTTCTCCGCTTCGCATCGAAGCTAAAAGTAACTAGTAAAAATAAATTGACAGTAATACAATTGATGTTCAAGAAATTATATCAAAACCTCTTTAGCCAAGAGTGCTTCCAAAAAAGAGAATGTAACTGTCTTATTCCAAAATCAAATAGGTATGCTCAGTGTTTAAACTACAAGAGCAACAGATTGTGTTATAGCACCCAAACCTCAATTTCAGCACTTATAAGCTCAAGGGTCTCATGTTTTTCTTATTTAATTGGTCAATTTCTGATGAGCTGTGATTGGAAAAAATAATTGGTCATTTAATTAAACAAGTTTTTGAGTAAATAAAATGCCATCTATAAATTTTATTAGTTTGAACAGAATTGAAATTTCTTAAGATACAACAAAAATTACCTCTTGGGCTACTTGAACAATTATTGTTGATTTGTAAATGATTGCGTATTTTTGGAGATTCAGCTAAAACAAACTTTTAATTAGTTATCTAATTTAAAAACTTATTAAAATATTAAGTGATACTCATGTTCTTAGATTTTGTAGAATATAAGGTGCTTGATATTTTTGGTGTGACTAATCTTTTACTGGGAGATGAAAAATTATGCTTATTTGGTGAATTAGCTAAAAAACATATTAGAAAGTAAAAGAAATTTTGAACTATTTAGTTTTGGCAGTTTTACATAAAATAAACAAAAAATAATGAGTTGATAAATTAATTACTACAAGCTAAATAATTACCGTCATCAGATTCAGAAGAAAATAAAAGGCAATCACTTTCAATTTTTAGATCAGCAGGTTCAGGTGATGAATTAGGAGTAAACCTCTTAGACCGTTTAGAATTAAACTTTTTGTTTACTTTTTTTCGTTTAGATGATAATCCATCTAAATCAGATGTATCTTCAGCAAGCCTACATTTTTTTCTTGCAACCAAAAAATTAACTAAATCAAATTAGATCACTAAAATTAATAATAATTATGTATTTAACAAACAAACATGCATAATGAAATAATGATATTATTATTCTTCTTTTTCCTCGCCTTAATATCGACTACTTGGGGTCGGCCACCCTTATCCTAAACTTCCACTTGACACGATCTCCCACATCATCTACGCTCAAATCAGCTGTCCTCAAATAATAATATAATAATATTATTATTATTGAAAATACTTACCGATGTGTTCACAGCCAGAGAAAACCCTGACTGAGATATTTAAATTTTTTTCTATTCGGTATTCTCCTTTTTTCATTAAACCGACTGTTATTTAAGTGGTTAGTTGGCCAGGCACACATTCCAGTTTTGTGATTAAACCAAAAGTCGGGAACAACTTCCACTGAATTATCATCCATAAAATTAACAACACACCAAGTCATGGTCTACTTCGTAAGAAAGTTCGGAGGTAAGTCTTACAGAATATGCGAATGATACGCTTAAGATATACCTAGTTACTCGCAGCTGGAGGGTCGTATGGCTAATGATTGTTTTTTTGGAACAAAATTATTCGTTATCAGTTAAACGCACGTGCGGTCCAAGTCACAACATGTATTTCTACGAAATTAGTATATATTAATTTATTGCCTTCAATAATTTAATTTTAGATTATATATATAATCTAAAAGGAACGCAATGAATATGTATAGGTACATTGCATTCTTCGAAATCAAAGTGAAAGAAATGTTTTTCCATTTATACGTTCATTGTTGACGTCAATTTATTTATTTATTATTTGATATTAGACCTGGCTATGATGATTTTTTACAACTATTAAAAATTGGTACTTATGGTTATTTAATAGAAACATTATGCTAAGTTTTAATCATTAGTAATTAGACATTTAAACACATGAAATAGTATTAGGTTAACTTAATAAACCTTTTTTTAAACAATTCATTATTGAACAAATTACATTTATTATCTATTGTAAGGTTTCAGCCAAACAGAGGGCCTACTAATTACCCACTGCCCAGGGGGAACACTGGACAGTGACCTAGTAGCCGCGCCAATCAAGATATTACTTGCTGACGGAGCTACTAGGTTTTGATAAAAACAAAAAAAAACCCAATATTAATAAAAATGAGGGAAAAGTATAGAGAAAAAAAAAAAAGAGGCCATGTATAATATAACATCATTTTTTTTAATTATTTAATTAAAAAATGTATAATTACTATTTAAGATATAAATATATTCATAGGAAATGACTATGAAAAGGAGAAGAAAAAAAAGAAAGAGGTGCTTGATACATAAAATTTAAAAAGGGGGGTTTCTTGATGTTGTACTTGTTGTTGATTGTTGATTTGAGGAGTGACGGCCCACCACCGGCCATAGTTGTGCTTTACGCCATAATCATCATCATCATCACCATCTCGACGTTTTGTTTAAATAAAAAAAAAAAAAGAGGACAAAAAAATACAGTCTGATTGACACCACAAGTCGACGGCAGATCAACTCGAAGTTTTATTTAAAAAAAACGGAGGACAAAAACACAACGACACCACTTGGTGGACAGCAGATCCACTCGACGTTTTATTTTGATAAAAAAAAACGGAGGACAAAAAAAAATACAATGAACAGCCTGGTTGACGGCCGGTCGACTCAACGTTTTATTTTGTATAAAAAAAAACGGAGGACAAAAAAAAAATACAAAAACGTGGTTTTCACAAAAAATACAAACGGACAACTTGTCGCCTCGGCAGTATAGGTGGAAAAAAAAATCATTGTCGCGGCATTTGAATAGTGGCCGGTGATCATGATGTCGCCGGGTGGTGGGGGTGCCAACTTTGAACTGGTTCATAGGGAGAATACAAAAGTGTAGGGATGCACTGTGTGCGGTCAACTGTCACAACAAACCGGGTACTGACCATTGGATCGGTTGATTGGTATATAAACTAATTTAATAATTGGGGACATACATAATACCTAATGCACACACTATTAACTGATAAGATTTATATATTAAAAAAAAAAACTTGTATAAATTCTGCAACATTACACTATCTAAATTCATTATTAGAGTTAAAATTATTTTTATACTTTAAAAAAACAACAATAATTATAAAACAAACATTTATACCTTGTAAATATTTTTAGTAGGTCATATTAAATATTACAAATAATTATTAATAGGATTTAAAATAATTTAGACACATTAAATAAACAATATACAAAACATTACTTAAAAATACTTTTAAGACTAATACAAGATTTTAATTACTAATTAATAATCCAGTGTTTCTTGTATTTCATTAATAGAAACATCACTATCTGCGGCCGACGAGAAAATTTCCAATTCTTCAAGAATACGTCTCTTCTTAGAACTTTTACTTCCGTAACTCATAATTAAAGTTTACCTTGCCAATTAAACAAAGATTTAAAAACTTTATCTATTAGAGATATTATAAATATTATCAATGTACCAATTGTTAGTACAAATGGGTAGTAGTAGTAATTAACTTATTATATCTATATAAAAATTATAAGTATACTTAATTTTTATTTAATGCTGAATGAAAATAAATTATTACTAAAATGTTAAAAATTAAACGTAGAGTTAATATTAAACGTATAATATAGAGTAAACATTATTTAAACATTCAATAGTTAATTAAAATGTATTATTAAAATTGAAATGTAAATGTAACATTACATAAATATTACATGAACAATATTAATTTTATAATATTTAAAGAATAACAAATAAATATTATATTTTTAATATTATTTAGTAAATCTAATGTAAATGATTATACAATATTTAATATTCCGAAATGCTATGTGGGCTTGTATGGTAAAACTTTATTTCTTCAAATGTGAATAACAATTACATAGAAATACTTAGAAATATATTTTAACAATAACGAAACAAAAAAAGAAAATATTTAGGTCTGATAGACCCAACGTACCTAATGAAGGGTTAAACTATATTTATTAATTGTACTTCTTAAATAATCTTTTTGCTATTGGTTATTTAGATATAATTTAGTTTCTTCATAGTCAATTGTATGCAAAGTATCTGTGTGTGCTATATCGCATAGACAAAACAATTTGTTGATAAATTTTTGTTCTTTAGCAATTCGTGTCAAATTTTTTCGTTTTCTCGATTTATTCAATGATTTCCATTCTTTATACAAATCGTCTATCTGAGTAATACTATGCTGATTTCTTTTTAGTAGAATTTTTTTTTTAGTTTAAAATACTTTTATTTATTTTATGACTAATGTAGCATTACTACGGATTTTTTAATTAACTTCTCTCAAATTATAAAATAAAACTTTCAATACTTGACCATTTGTAGGCAAATTAACACAATAATTTAGTTTTCATAATTACCAATTAGAAATACATAACTTCTAGATCTTTTGGCCATTATAAAAATTATAAAATATTTTATTACATAAAAGTAAAAGAAAAACAATGAATGTGTAATTTAATAAAAAGTTCCAAAGACAATAGTAGCTTGCTGTACTACATAGAATAAAATTCGACTTGAATAATTAAAATATTACATTTAACAGAACCTTGAAATGGTTATAAGTAGACCTCCGCAATTATCGATTATAGTTATCAATTATCAATTATAGACCAATACAACATAAGATAAGATTAACATTTATCTATTTTGTCGATGATTAATTGCGAAAATGGTAATGTCTTGATTAAATATTATAAAACTAAAATTAATTTAAAGAGAAGTAACTTGTGGTACATTAAATATATTATAAACAATCAGATAATTAAATTTAAAGTAAAAATAAAGAAATTCGTAAAATTAAAAGTTAACAAATTTAGTAATGCGAAATTCATTTTTTTATGATTTATTTCAAATAATACTAGTTCAATGCTAAAAAATTCAACTTAAGTAATTTATATTCAAGTCAATATCAACACTTGAAAATGTTGTAGTGAAGTGTTGAAACTTTTAAAGTAACAAAGTATAAAAAATAAGCTGTTTAATTTTTTTTGTGTTATCAATATATTGTTATCATGTGTAAAAAATTCAATAAATTATTAAAAATAATATATCAAAATATTGGTCTTAACATAATGTTTTTTTTTTGTATTTAGACTTTTATTGAAAAAATTAGTCGATAACCTCTAATATAGGTTTTATAGAATTCTTTATTCTTCGAAAATTCGAGGTCAAAATCTTAAAATGCTGTGCGCCTCGATTTAAACATTTCCAAATGATCTTAAATTTTTAGAATATTATTTTTTTATACTAAAGAAAAAAATGGAGGAGTGTCCTGAAAGAAATTTCGAAATTCGTAAAATAAGGACCACCCTAGTAAATATGTAAAGTCACACAGTCTCCAATATTATAATTCTCTGGTGAATCAGCAATGCTGATGATAATGTAAATGTATCATTATTGATAATAAAAATTAAGTCTGGGACAGATAAGTTTTATGAAAACATTAAAATTGTTAAATTCTATAAAGATCACAAAGTAACGCATACTTTACATTAAAAACTTGTATTTTAAAATGAATTCAAATTGTGAAGAAATGTTTGTACAATATATAATTAAATAAAAGAATGTTTTTTGAGTAAGAACTTTATATATGTTATTATAATAACTTTTACCAGTAGTAAAATATAAAATAATGTAAAAAATTAAATATAGAATTAAATTAAAAAAAAAACTGTATCTTTTTAAAAATACTTATTAATTTTCAATTCAGCGACCTCATAAACATATATTATTATATATAACACCATAGATTAAATACACATATATAAGCCATGGCATTCAGACAATTGGCAACCGATTTTTTGTTAATTTATACCAGTAGAGATAGCGCTATATATCCTCTCGAGAAATATTAAATATTTAATAATAACTGTCTAGTTTGTTGATATTCAAGTAATAGCCGCGATTATTGATGTACGGCTAACACCGTTAGCGCAAATTGAGATAAGAACCAGTTGTTACCAAAAGGCGATTGCTTATTTAATTTAAATGAAACTTTTCGTTTTTAATACGAATTCGATAAAAGGATTTTTATATTATTTGGTGTTTAATTTCTTAACTTACCAGTAATCAAGTCTAAGTGAAATATTTATTAATAATTACACATTTTATAAGGTTTTCATGTATAAAACTAATAATTTAATTTTTCAAATATACAATGAAATAGTAAGAAAAAAAACAAATTACAAATATTTTAGAAAAAAATATTCTAACAAATAAAGCAATTTTAACCAAAGTTCAGATCACTAAAAATGATAAAATAAGAAGTTAAGATAGGTTCATCCTATAATAATATTGATTTCCTCTTAGAATCTTTAATTTATCTACAAAGACCATCTTATGAAATTTTGACTTCAAGTTAAATATACTAAAGTTTACTATGTATTAAAGTTAAAGTTAAATATTCTAAGTGTGACAAGCACTCTTATAAAGTATTTATAATAGGATATAATTCATTTGTTATTATACTATTTAATTTAAAACTCAATTGTGTTGTATACGACTTTTCATTTATAAAATGATGAATTATCTGTTGAGCATTAGTAACAAAATGTATTCAAATTTCTTTTGGTTTTTTCAACTTACTAGTAATTATTTGATTTTGTGTTTGAAATGTTTTATAAAAAATTAAAAATTCTTTGTCATTAAAAAGAATCCAAAGTATCCTCTTTCATAAATTTCACATGGTTTACATGGAAATTTATCTAACAATTTTTTATCGAAATACCCAACAAAATATACATTTGAGCAGGTCTTTAAAGTTAATGTAGGAACAGAAATCAGTTGTTATTGTATAGTAGTACAGGAATTAGAGAAGGAAGTTATTTCAGATGTGTCTGAACTATAATCAGAATATATAGGATTTTCAGTTGTAGTTTCGTCAGTGGAAGATAAAGGTAAATTCAAAATATTAGTGTCATCATCTAGCTCACAATTTGAGGTTTCAGATGATCTCATTAAATTGTGTTTAGCTCGAATTCTAAATGATGCCCTGAAAGTCCTAGCCGTAGAATTCTTATTAAAACCTCCCCTTTGACGATAAACTGAAAAAGTGTTTTCTAAAACATCCTGGTTTAACCTACTAGATATTAAATAATCGTATCCTAAATTTTGCTGTTGCTGAAATAACATTATAACGGCGTTGATACTCCAAACTATCAAAACATGGTGGTTTTACTCCATATCTTTTAATAGGTTGTGATAATCTAAGGTCACTAATAATAATGTTGGCTTGTTTCAGAAAGTTTAATTGATTGGGATTTTTACTATATAAAGCGCAAGATAAAGGATGATTTTTATCATAAAGATTTTTCAACTCATCCTAATTACAAAATAATTTATCCGCCACTACTTTCTGTTTAAAATAATTTATAAAAATATTTAGAGTCTTGTACTGTAATACCATATTTTATGTCAAAGTTCTATTAAGGATTCTTAGTATAGTATTAAAATAAAAAATTAAATTAAATTTCAATGAAAAAATTATTACAAAGAGTTAAAATCATAAAAAACCTTACATTATGTCATAAAATACAATTAACGTGTATAACAATAACTGTTTAATTATTTGCATCATACATTCATTTAATAATTATTAAAGATTTAAAATACCACGTATATTTCAACCAATAGAAGCACTCAAAATTTACACTATCTATCAGCAGAATCGCCTGCATCCAGCGCATCGTTTCCCTGCGTCCATTTATGATAAAAATTGGACTGCCAAAATTGTGTACGGCGTGGTCTATCTATATGTATTTAATCTATGATAACACTAAAAAAAAAAAATTAATTAAAAAAAAACGCTTGTTTCGAAATATGAAATTTCATTCCGTTTCGAGTTTGCTAAGGAACGGAACTTTTGCTAACATACGTTCTGGGGGTCTATTTTTGAATCGTCAGTTCGTCGAACGTATACGTTCGTTGAACGGACACGTTCCTCGAACGGTCACGTTCGTCAAACGGATTCTATTGTTCCATTAGGTATACGGCCTTCTAGATATTGTTCGATGAACATTTATGTTTTACGATTGTTTGCAATTTATTGTAATAACATAAATAAATATTTTGAAAATTAAATTCATACAGCTTGATTTTTAATATTTATTTTTAATTGATATATTACTTTTTAATAACAATAATTTATTACTAACACATACATTTAAAACTTGATAATTTAATTTATTTGATGTGAATTTATTTTAAGTAATTCGCTAAAACTATACAAATAATTTAATTACACAAATTCTAAAAAAATGTATTTACAATTGCATACATGTTAAATTAAAAATTATTAATACACTTTAAAACAACAATACTTAAATTTTCGAAAATAAAGTGTTACATATATTTTATATAATTTTATTTTATTTATTCATTTTAAGATTAATTGATATAATTTATAAATTATGTTACATATAAATAAATAATAAATTTAATTAGATTTAAATTTAATATTTAATAATTAAATTTAATTCCCTTAATTTTATCCCGATTAGTTATTTGATTTATAATTATTATATATGAATAAATAGCAATTTTAGTAATTAAATTTAGTATGAAATTGATATTCAATATTTTAATATTGTAATTTTTTTTTTTTTTTTTTTTTATAGTATTTTTTATTCAAATAACTTTATAAAATTTACATCTATACGAAATATATGCACAACCGTAAATGGGTTAACAGTAGTGAAAAAAAAAATTACAATATGACTTGAATAGCATGCAGTAGGGGGGCACACAATGGAACTACCTACTTTGAATTTTGTTTTTTGATTTCATTTTTTTTATTATTTTTTTTTTTTCTATAGGAGGTCTCTACACCATTTTCTTTTTAATCTTCTTGGCGGATTGTCGGGGATGTGTTTTGAATAGAGGTATTGAATATTAGGGTTTGGGTGAGAGTTTAATTTGTTATGAAGTTTAAGGTAAGCAGTTTTGGCAATATTGTTAACATAACTAATTTGAAGATCTGAATGGAGACTTTTATTAGGGACGTACCAAGGGGAATTGGTGAGTGTTCGTAGGCAAATGGATTGAAAGGATTGGATTTTTTGGATGTTGGATGGAGCGGCACAGCCCCAGATTTGAATACCATAAAATCATAGTGGAAAGATAAGAGTTTTATAGATGAGTGTTTTTAGCTTTAGATTAAGTTTGGAACGTAAGAGAGGGCGAAGTAGATGGAGTCGGGTGTTTAATCGTTTCCTTTTTTCAGTTATATGGTCTTTCCAAGTTAGTCGTTTGTCAAAAATGAGGCCTAAGTATTTTACTTTATTATTTTGGGGTAGTAAAGTGTTGTAGAGTTTGACTGGTGGACAGATGTCTGGTCGAAGAGAAAAGGTGATGTGGTTTGATTTGGTTGTATTTACTTTAATTTTCCATTCGGTAAACCATTTTTCTAAAAGATTGAGGTGGTATTGGAGTTTGAAATTTGTTATTAAGGGATCAGCGTCTGATGCTAATATGCTTGTATCGTCAGCAAAAGTATTTAAGATTGTAAAGTTAGATGTAGGTATATCAGCTGTGTATATTAAGTATAAAAGGGGGGATAGGTCACTGCCTCGGGGAATTTGTAATTTTTACGGAGATATTATAAAAATAATAAAGTAGTAGTATATATCTGTACTTTTAACGCGTATAAAAATTTAAATGAATTGATGCAATACTTTTAAATAAAAAAATTTTGTTATTTATGAATAAACACACTAGACCAGCGGTTCCCAAACTTTTTTAGCTCACGGCGCCCTTTTTGAACTAAACTTTTCTCAAGGCGCCCTTCCCAAGACATAGCATGACTAATCATAAAAAATGAATAAAAAAACAAATAAAAACCAGACAATTTTTTCATTATAATACAAGAATATTTATTTAATTTTAGTTATATACTTTTTACACATTTTAATTATTTTTGAAGATTTACATTTACATTTATATTTAGAGGTCGAAATAGATAGGTATAAAATTAATGTGATGGATGTGCTTGCATATCACTGCACATTTTTTCAAATCTTGGAATTAAACAAGACACAGCTACTCTCATTTCTTTTTCAACATTGATTTTGGTTCGATACTTGCTTTTTATTACTGCAACCGCCGAAAACCCAGCTTCACACAAATATGATGTCGAAAACGGAATTAAAATACGTTGAGCCTTATCACTTAAAAGAGGATATTCATCTTTTATAGAAATCCAAAATTTGGTTAAATCTATACTGCTAAATTTAGTCTTCAAACTATTGTCGCAAGACAACTCGATAAGACTCTCTTCTTCGGTAGAAGTAAACTCAGATGGAGCAGTAGAGTTGAATGGATCTTGAATCCAAGAAAATTTATCTATATTTTCATTTTGAAAGTATTTTTCAAACCAAATGACGAGTTGTGATAGGTGATCTACAAAAATAGATTTCATATCTTGAGAGATTTTAACTCCGTTAGAGGTCAAAAACTGCTGTAAAGTTAAAAAAGAATCCTTACTCGTGCCTTCATTCATTTTTCTTCTCCATAATTTGAGTTTTTTAATAAAAGCTGAAATTTTTTCCATTGACTTCAAAAGGTGCATATTTTTTCCTTGCAAAGAGGTATTCAGTTCATTCAGTTTATCAAAAATGTCACACAAATATGCCAATTTTATTAAAAATTCTTTATTGGAAAATTCACTGGCATGTTTATGTCCTTCTTCTTTAATAAATACATAAATTTCCTCTCGTAGTTCAAACGTACGTAGTATCATATTACCGCGCGACAACCATCGTGCACTGCTATAGTACAGCAAACTTGTGTGTTCAGCTCCCATATCTTCACATAGTTTTTTGAAAAATCTCGATTTCAGTGGACGAGTTTTTATATAATTGACCACATTCACTACACATTCTAAGACTTGGTTCAGTTCAGGACTCAGATATTTTGATGCAAGTGCTTCTCTATGAATAATACAATGAGTCCACAGTGCATCAGGAGCTTTGTTTTGAATAAGCGCCTGTAATCCTCCATAGCAGCCAGACATAGAACGAGCGCCATCAGTACAGACACCAACACACTTAGTCCAATCTACACTATTTTCAGACATAAAATTATCAAGAATCTCGAATAAGTCCTGAGCCTTGGCACCAGCTGTAATATTTTTACAAAAGAGTAAATCTTCTACCATGTCATCATTATCTATGAACCTTATGTAGCATATCAAATGAGCATCCTTATTAATATCCGTAGCCTCATCCAGCTGCAACCCAAATGCCTTTTCTTTAAGTTTTTCTATCAACTGATCATTGAGATCATCTGCCATATGGTGAATTCGGCGACTAATTGTATTATTAGACAACGGCACTTTTGAAAGTAATTTCCCAGCCGATTCGCCAATCATAATGTTTACCATATCTAAAGCAGCTGGTAGGATAAGCTCTTCTGCAATTGTATGAGGTTTCTTACATTTTGCGATTCTAAAAGCAACTTTATAAGAGGCTATCAATGCATTGTTTGGTATTGATGCATTATTAAAAAATATACTTTTTTCCTGTTTTAGTTCTTTCCTCTTTCTATCAAAGTAATCGCGAGATTTTCCAACCGCATACTTATGATTCGTTTCCAAATGGCGCTTCAATTTACTTGGCAACATGCATTCTGGTGCTAAAACTTTCATACACAATACACATAATGGTCTTTCTTCACCATTCACTTCTGTAGAAGTAAAACCAAATTCCAAGTAACTATCATCATACTTCCGATATTTTCGTTTTTTTACAGTCGGGCTGTTACTGGTTGAGGGTATACTTTCCTCCTCTACACAACGATTATGACTGTTCAATAAAAATCGATCCATGATTTACAAAAATTAACAAAATTTCTATATAAAAACGACGAACACGATAGAGCAACACACTACGCGAGACTGGCGGTCATACTAATCCGAAAACAAATTTTATCAAACGTCTCATAAAGTCATGACTATGGTCTAAAAATAAATTTAAACTCATTAATGGTGGTGGTTATAATGCGACAGAACCGATAACGATAAACAGTTTATCAATTTTGTGAAGTCGGAGACATAAAAATTATTTTTCTCTACCGATATTATAGTAATCGGTTTTGTCGCATTACCCTCGCCGCCGTTATCGAGTTAAAATTTATTTTTAGACCAGGTAAATTTCTACGACGACGCGGCGCCCCTGAAAAGACATCGCGGCGCACAGTTTGGGAACCACTGCACTAGACTACAAGAAACTTTCATTAGAAATAATAATATACTTTTCTAAATCAACTTTTCGCGCTGTGCAATTAGACTTTTCCTATTATTTCTAATTTTTAATATTATAACTTATTATTAAAAAATAAGCATTTGCATATAAAAAAAAAGTAATTAATAACAAAAAAAAATTGTTTTAAATTAATACTGATTTTGATTATTAATATGTTAAAAATAAGGAAAATGACATATTTAACCTATTTTTTTAATCGTTTAAAATTGATTTTTGTGAATGTTGAGAGGTGACGACTTGGGCCACGCAACGGATTGTGGAGTCGCCACCCTCATGACTCCCTTGCGAAAGCAAATCGGGTCGCCAACCACTTAGGCGAGGGTCTTGATCATAAAAAGAACAACATCCGGACCATAAGTGGACTTAAGAAAATAAACCAATAATATTAAATAAAATAATGTATACTTTGATGAAACAAAGTGGATAAAAAAAAATTATATATACATATACCAAAATATAAAGTGTTGTAGACTATAATACGCTGATACCTTGTAAATAAAACAAATATGTATATTTTATGTCACCAGTGGTGGACATACTTTAGTATGTCGAGACCGTTACCTTAAAAATAGAGAGAATTATTTAAAGGTAAAAAATAAGATTCATACAAATAAGAAAAATAAGATACACGTGAATATTGAAGATATTCACGCAATAAAAAGATTTTTGTTGATTATGAATATTAAGGGGATTTTATTTAATTATTACAGTTACATTAATAGTGGACAAAACCCGAAGGCAAAAACCACTCTGAAAATGAAGGGACAAGAGAGAAAAAAAAAAAAACAATTGTTAAGACAAGAAAAAATTTAACCTACAACTTTTAAATATTACACGTGAAGTGTCTTCCGCATCGGAACAAGTTCGTGTACTCCGGGCGCGGCGTATAATTTTTGTAATCTGTCTGGCCGGACTGTAATTGGGCACTGCGGGAACAATATATATATGTATTAAATATACATGACATACCACTGACCAATAACCTTATAAATATCAATACTAGATAAAGTCCATATACACTGTGTATTATACAGTTCATAAGAAAATAAATTTAAAACAGAAAAAGGCTCAAACATTATATTAAATAAAATAAATACAATATACGATACCCAGTTCCGGATGGGACTCATCCTAAGATGGGGATCTCGGCCCCGGAAATGGCCGACGCCTGGTTAAATTAATACATGATTTTTAGACGACAAACACGAAAAAAAACTATTGGCTGCACACACACATCAACAAAATACCACAACGGTAGTTCAAAAGGAAGAGAGGCACAATTTTTTCTTACTCACCGGGCGAGACATAACGACGACGAAGATTACGTTTGGGAGAGGGTATCGGCTTAACAATTTACAAAATATAAAACAGATAAAAGTATGAATAATATTAAAATTATTCAGGTAGTGACAGTGGTGGCCAGTGTATGTGTCATTAGGGTGGTCCTTATCTACATAGGTCATTTTTTTTTTTTATTAAATTCAATCAGGACGCCCCCTAGAATTGTTCTATAGGTTAAAAAAATACATTTTGTGAAGTTTCGTGATTGTCCAATGATTTTTTCCCGTGCCGCAGAAGGGTTGAAATTTAATAAATTGGGGTAAAAATTAGTTTTTTTGTATAACTTATTAAATTTTACTTGAATCAAAAAAATTTACTGAATAAAATTTGTTTAAAAATGTATTTTCTATAAAATATATTATATTATTTTTTACTCTATATTGCTTATTTAATTGAATAATCAATAAAACACATAAATACGCCGTTTTTTCCTGATTCTAATTTTTTGCGTAATTCAGTTTTTATTAGCGTAAAAATTGATAGGCCACCTGTACTTATAAGTTTCAATGGTAATGAGCAACTTCTAGGCGTTCCTTTTATTAAATCAAGTACAGGAAGAGAACAAGCTTCAGCAATTCATAGTTTATTAGTAGAATGGTATATTGAAAATAAAGTTCAGGCTATTTGTTGCGACACAACAGCCTCTAATATGGGGAGATTACAAGGTGCTTATATTATTTTAGAGCAATACCTCGAAAGGGACCTTTTATAAAATTGCTTTATCTAGTGGACCATTTTTTAAAAAATTTAAAAAAAGTTGGGCACAGATTAAAGACTGTACAATAAATCCAGATTTAGAAAATATTACGGTTAAAACACAATTAAACGGCTTAGAAAGTAAATTAATTTTGTTTATAATGGAAAAAATAAAAATTAATCAACCAAGAGAAGACTATAGAGAACTTCTTAATTTGGCCATTATTTTTCTTGGCGGTGATCATTATACAAATATTTCTATTAGATCTCCTGAAGCTTTTCATCACGCCAGATAGATGGATGGCAAAAGCTATTTATTGTTTAAAAATTTTTCTTTTTCGAGAGTCTTTCGAGCTAACAAATGACGAACGGGTTGGTGTTCATGATGTTTGTATATTTTTGGTAAGAATTTATTTAAAATACTGGTATTCTGAAAATAATTCTATTGAAGCTCCTCGTATGGACTTAGAATGCATGAAAAATGTTTATGAATACACAAAAATTGACGATGCCGTAGGTTTGATAGCACTTTAAATTTAGCAACCAATGATGGTATCTCGCACCTGAAAATGCCTCAATGGCATTTTTTGATGATCAAATACATGTTGAAATAAAAAGACTTATGGTAAAATCATTACAAACTAATGAATGTGAAGACTTAAAAAAAATTAATCCGCCAAGAAATATAAAACATTTTGTAAGTAAAACTATTGACAAGTTCATTAAGGCAAACTCAAAATTTTTTTTTAAACGTTTTGATATGAAAACTAGTTTTTTAAGCAAAGATCCCGAACGATGGAATTTAAATATATATTATCTAGACTGTCAAGAAATAGTGCGAAGATTAAAAGTTGTAAACGATACTGCAGAAAGATCAGTGAAATTAATTGAAGAGTATAACTCGATAATTACTAAAAAAGAAGACAAAAAGCAATACTTGCTCCAAGTTGTCGCAGATTATAGAAAACATTTTCCTGATGCAAAAAAAAACACATTAATGAAATAATGATGATTATTTAATAATAATTGATAATAAATTTCCATAATATTTTTTTAGTTGTGTTTTTTTTATAATTAAAGTTTATTTTTATTATTTATTAGTTTTATATTATATGTTTTAATCAGTTATATGTTATAAGACCAAGATTTAGAATTAGAAAATATTTTACTAAGCAATATTTGTACATAATTTTCAAATCTAAATTTTATAATTTATATAGATTTTGTAAAAATTTGTCGATTACGCTAATAAAAACTGAATTACGCAAAAAATTAGAATCGGGAAAAAACGGCGTATTTATGTGTTTTATTGATTATTCAATTAAATATGCAATATAGAGTAAAAAATAATATAATATATTTTATAAGAAATACATTTTTAAACAAATTTTATTCAGTAAATTTTTTTGATTCAAGTAAAATTTAACAAGTTATACGTAAAAAACTAATTTTTACCCCAATTTATTAAATTCAACCCTTCTGCGGCACGGGAAAAAATCATTGGACAATCACGAAACTTCACAAAATGTATTTTTTTAACCTATAGAAAAATTCTAGGGGACGTCCGGTCAAAAAAAAAACTTTGAAAAATAAGAGCCACCCTAATGTGTCATATAGGGAACGATTGTTAAACTGATAAAGAATATTGTGTGTATAGCGTTCACATTGACAGCAACAGTACAGTTTTCTGATTACACGGCCGGATATAATGTACGCGCGCCCATTAGCAAAGCAAACACAGTAAATCTATCTATATCATAAAATTCATATTTTGAATGAAGTATGGATCAATATAATTCTTTTTTTTGTAGATGCATGATGTCTTTACCTATCATTTGGTATATTTTTTTTATAAATCTGACTTTTTACCTGCCTACAGGGGGGGATTCAAAATGACAACTTTTTCACAAAAAATTGACTTTTTCAACTTAAATTTTCAATAGTCATGATATATTTATCAAATTGAACAATGAATTTATTATATAGATCGAGGTTTTTCTCTGGGTGTAAAGATTTGCATCGAAGCGTTTTTTTTTATAGTGATTTTAATCACTGTCAGATATCATTATACTTGATCCAACTATGCCACGTCACCACTGTGCCGCGACCCCCCTGTGCTGTGTTTTTTTTTATAATAAATTTTTATAGACCCCTTTCATGTGACACGCTTTTTTTGTAAATCGAATCATACCCCTTTATACAAGGGGGGTAAAAACTTTTAACTTGCGTATTAAAACTAGGGCATTTTCAATTTAATTTTTGATAGTATTCCGGAAATACTTTTATATGTATCTTAAATTAAAGCTTATGTAATATACTTTAATTTGAAAAAAAAAAAATTTGACCTCTGGATTTGTCTTCACGGTAAAAATGACTACCGTGTTCAAAAATATGCCATTTTTGTGTTAAAATTCTGGGTTTTGTATTTTATTTTATTTTAAAATACTTGACATGGGGAGTACAGATTTTCATAAATATTATATAAATAAAAATTAATATAGCATAGAAAGTTAAACTTGTTTAAATTTTTTTGCTTTTTGAAGTTGAGAAAATTAACTTTGAAATTTGAACTAGCTTAAATAGCCAATTTTTTCAACCTACGGTAGCGACGTACGGTTGCCGAGTCGGTAAAACTTGTGTTTTACACGATTGGGGTACAAGGTTGTTCCAAACCGCGTATGGCTATGAATGTTTTACATTTTTTCTTAATTCTTTTTAAGTTAAAATAAATTTTCAACTACTTTGATATATATTTATTTATTTATTATTAACTATCATTTCTGTAACTTTTATTTTCGGTTATTATGTTAAGTGGTTATATATTACTTATTTGGTAAATTAAGTAATCTATTAATATTGTAAATGTACTATCACTTTCTTTTAAATTAGTTTATAATTCTAAATATTTTGATTTATATAATGGGATTTATTGGTATATTTATCTTTTTATTTTTTTGGTGATTTGCTTTATAATTAACATAATGTTTGAATTCACTTCATTAAAGCAGAATTTTCTTAATGATTTAATAATTTTTCTATTAAATATAAATTTTATAAGACATTTAATTTATTTTATTAATTAGTTAATATTAATATATAACAAAATAATATTTATATAATTTTTAATTTTTTCCCTTGGTATTTCTTTTTATTTCTATACCAGCAATTGTCTGGTGTGTGTATTGACATTCTTTTGCAATATTTGCACCCTGCAACAAAATTTAAACGTATTATTCAGTTTCAATTTTTAATGGTGTATTGTTTTGTAGTATTAAATATATGTATGGTAAAAAACTTTATGATACCTTAGAATATACATCTGCCTATGAATAATTCGCAGATTAAAAACTGTTTAACTACAATTTTTGTACATCATGATTGTCAATTAAAATAATAGCTTTCAGGAATCTCATAAAAATATTGTATTTAACGTAAATGCTAAATTATTTTTAGTTTAGTCAAATACAAATGTGTTTAAAAATTAATAATTAATTGGAGTTACATATAATTATGTTTATAGAAAAAAGGTCCTAAGCCTAATTTTTCATTAAGGTTTATTATAATATAAAACATTTAAAAATCTTAAATATAGTATACACATGTTTAAACTCTTTGGGTGTTAAACATTTTTTATATAAACTAGATGATATAATGTTCTATAGATATCTTAATTAATCATTAATTGTGTATATAATTTTTTACTATTAAATACAATATTTAGTTGTTTAATGTAATGTAATTTTAAACTATAGTATATAATTTAGTGTAGTTAAAAAAAAAAATTTTTTTCAATAAATGTTTGTTGATTATTGATATTACAGAACGAATTATACAATTTTGGATTTTACTTACATTTTGTAGAATTACTTTTTTTCTTATATTTTTTTTTCCGGTATTTTAACTTTTTCTATGGTTTTTTTTTATTTAGCGTTTTTTGTTTTGTAGCAATTTATTGATGAATGGCCAAAAGAATGGCAACTGTAACATCCTATTATATAGTATTTCTTAATTAATATATGGGTGTAAATTATTTTATTAATATTTTGTATTTGATACGTACTTTTATTTGTGGTTTTTTTTTTGGCTCACTTTTATGAGGAGGCGATATGGTAAAAATTATTTTATTTATAACACCACCTTTATTTATAATCATCTGTAATATAGTTTTCAGTTTGATTATTATACAAAGTATTACAAAAATATGTAAAATTATATATACTTACGGTCAATTGACAATATGCTCATTATAAATGATAGATTTTTGTTCAAATTCTCATCGAACAGTGATTACTTACCTTACGGACTGTTGCTTTATAAGGTATAATACACATTATCGGAAAAAATTAATTTAAAATTTATGGAAGACAGATGGATTATTAAATTGAAATCACAATACACGCGCGATAGTGGATATAAACTTATATTTTATTTAGCTTTTGTGAAAAATATCAAGTATATATGACTGTTTGTAGGCTAATTGATGCAAGCCACATTTTACCAAAAATTTTCAGATTCGGTCGATTTGAATATCTATTAGTTAATTTTATGTTTTCAGAAAAAAAATTAGTTGATTAAAATGTTGCTTACGCTTATTAGCCTACAAACAGTAGATATAGTTTATGCATTAATGATAGCTTGCAATTTTACATTTTAGCTTCGATGCGAAGCTGAGAAGGTATTGGTTTTACTAAGATATGTATAAAAGTGTCAGTGTAATCGGAACACTTTCAAAATTTAAGTTGAAAAAGTTGTAATTTTAACTCCTCCCCCTTTGGCACTAAAAGGTCAGATTTATAAAAAACAAATATACCAAATGATGTTTTTTTTTTTTGTGTCTGTTACCAAATTTTTCATCTCTCACCGAACCGATTTATTTCAACGATACGTCAAAAGATCACAAAACGTATCTAGTTTAAGACATTACCCTCAAAAATTAAAAATAATTTCCCTCGTTACCCTAAATGGGAAAAATGTCCAAAAAAATTATAAATTTAAAAATCACTAATTTTTGAAATTTTTAGCTTCGATGCGAAGGTATTGGTTTTACTATGTAGTGTTTTTTTTTTATGTCTGTTGCCACTTTTTCTCAGCTCTCACTGGACCGATTTCTTTCAACAATACGTCAAGAGATCACAAATCGTTTCTAGTCGAAGACATTACCCTCAAAAATTAAAAAAAAAACTATTACTTACGCCTTTTAAATCTTCATTCGGCATTTCGCCTTACACGGCCTCCTCGGCCACCTTGCCCTCCTCGGCCTCTTCGCCCTCCTTGACCACCTCTGCCTTCACAGCCACCCTCACCATAATAATTGTAAATATAGTTTGGCATGATGCTCAAAAAATGGGGGAAATATCCAAAAAAATTACACATTTGAAAATTTGTAAATTTTGTCATTTTTCTCACTTTTTTTTCTTAAAACTTTTTCAAAAATAAACAAATCATCATAATTTTTTTTTATACTAAAACCTTAGATATTTTCCTTTCATTTTATATCATTTTTTTGAAAATCTAACACTTGTCTAACCTGCTCATTGGGGGGGGATTTAAAATAGCAACTTTTTTACAAAAACTAACTTTTTCAACTTAATTTTTGAAAATGTTATAAATGCATATGTGTGTATGTGTGAGTTTATTCATTTATTGTATCATTAAAGTGTAGTGTATATTAATATACAACCGATAGAGTAGGTAATTGATTTGACGCTATATTGTTTAAACCCAACTAAACGCTAAATTGTACATTCCCAAACAACAATCATATTATGTCAATTGCCACCGGAATTTCTGGTAATCTTTTTCTTTTTCTTTGCCTTAATACCAACTACTTGGGGTCGGCCTCCCTTAACCTAAGATTCCACTTGACATGATCTCCCACATAATCTACGCTTACATCAGCTGTCCTCATATCGCATTCAATAGCATCCCTCCATCTCTTTTTTGGTCTTCCTCTATCTCTTCTTCTTTCAACATTCATTTCTATAACTGTTCTTACAGTTTCCGATTCTTTTCTCCTCATAACATGACTAAACAATTTAAGTCTGTTTTCTTATCCACGATTGACCCAACCACTACATTTCCTCTTATATGCTTGTTCCTTATCCTATCTTCTCTAGTCACTCCACTCATCCAACTAAGCATACTCATCTCTGCTACACTTATTCTCTGCTCTACTTTCTTATCAACCGCCAAACACTATGAACCATACATCATAGCTGGCCTCATAACTTCATACTAAATTTAAAAACTATAATTAGTATTTATTCAAATATTATATTTTAAAATCAAAGAACTACTAATCAGGATATAATTAAAGAAATAAGAGTTCATGTTGCTTTTGGATTATCCACCAATTTCTCTAAATGAAACACTATCTAAAGATTTGCATCGAAGCGTTTTTTTTTTATAGTGATTTTAATCACTGTCAGATATCATAATACTTGATCCAACTATGCCACGACACCACTGTGCCGCGACCCCCCTGTGATGGGTTTTTTTTCCCCTGAGATATCCACTAAATCAGGACCCAGTTATTGAAATAATATTTATTGAAATAAATTTATTATTTGGCTATAGTTTTATTTATGAATTAATTAACGAGACAATTGATAATACATATTTAACAAATTGGTTAAAAACATTTTACTAACAGGTAAATATGTACATTAAACATTTATACATATTGAACAACAAAATTTTAGAGTTGTGTGGTATTATTATATAAAATATATAATATTTTATTCGAACCATGCTATTCAAAAATCTTTTTTAAACGGACCTTATACAATTTTTATGTAATTTAGTGTATATTAATATATTTTAATACAAAAAAAAAAACCAGCACAGGGGGGTCGCGGCACAGTGGTGCCGTGGTATAGTTGGATCAAGTATAATGATATCTGACAGTGATTAAAATCACTATCAAAAATAAACGCTTCGATGCAAATATTTACACCCAGAGAAAAACCTCGATCTATATAATAAATTCATTGTTCAATTTGATAAATATATCATTACTATTGAATCTATGATATATTTATCAATATGATAATTTTTTTTCTTGTCTTGAACAATAATTATTTATAAGAATAGTTATTTTGTTCGTATTAATAAAACATTAGTAGGGTGAAAAAGGGGATTTTGGTTCCCCCCCGCTTCACCCACCCACCACACCACATGTGATGTAGGTGAAGATACTAACATAATGCAATGGGAGAGGGAACGTTGAAACCCAACGTAAACTAACCTAAGGCAGGTGAGGAACCTCTCCTCTTCCACCAAGTCTTATGATAGGGGGTAATGAAACACGACGTTAACTATCACAACTTGTCGCGCACCTAAATTATGCTCAGCCATATAGTTTATACGTAATATCCTTTTTTTGACGAAAAAAAAAAAAATGCATTTTCCAGGTAAGCTATACGGTTACGGTGAAAAGTATGAATTTTAAACGTCGAATCCGTTATTTTGATATGCGACATGCATATATTTAGATAAAGTCTGTACGTAAAATGTTAATTTTACCTAATTTGTAAAAAAAAAAAATTAGTTCGAAACATTGTGTGCCAGATGGCTGTATTGATGATTATACTATAGCACTCTAGATAAATACAGCAGATGGCTTAACGCGGCGTCGATGTCGCCGTCAATTACATTAATTTTTAATATACGATCTATAAGTTTGACCGTTATTGGTATAGTGAATAATAAATCAGTATTTTTTTTTTTTTATCGACAATATATAATAATGACGACTGTTAGAGTTTTCTTATAGCAAAACACATTTTTAAATAAACACTATACTACTACCGCCGCCGCCGCCGCTGACGACGACGATAATAATAGCTGGAACATATATTCTAATGATTATAATATTATTATTATAATTGTAATACACTTATCGATTAATGTCATACATATTTTTGTCTGAATTATTACACGTATCCCTCTCAATGTTATAAATGATTACTGTATTTAACAACTTTAATTAATTATTTTTAATTAAGTAATAGTCTCGACTGGTCGGATTGCATTCTTGTTCCGTCAACGCATT